AGGTCATTTTGACCTAATTTGACTTAATCCTCATTTCGATATGATGGCTCACATATATGTGTCACTGATCCACCAGGTGACAATATATGAACACAACTACAGCAGAGGTTTGTCAATGATAAGTGTTAAGAGAGGAACATGGTAACATGTGACTCATGTTGTCTGTTGAAGAATGTTCAGGGGTTGACTGGGTTATTTATTTTAGTGCTTTAGAATTAGCTTTTGCTAAAACTTTCAGTGCATTAGTGCTTTAGAGTTAGCTTTTGCTAAAACTTTCAGTGCATTAGTGCTTTAGAGTTAGGGGACCTAAATATTTGAGTTAGTGTTTTAGGGTTAGTGGAACTAATTTTAAGATTAGTGCTGCCCACCACTACTCCTTGGCATTCGAGCTATAGGAGCTCAGCAGACGTTTCACAGAGTGTTTGCTAGCCTGCAGGATCAGGGTGGGGGGTGGGAGGTGAGCTCTGTGTTGAGAGGATAACATTATATAAAGCTAATTTTTTTTCCACAGGAAAAGATTGATTTTACCTTATATTGCCCTTTTAAGATTGTGAAGCTGTCACTTGTCAACTCAGAGTTTCAGCTCCCTCTGTAGGATTTCAATGGGATTAAGGTCTGGAGACTGGCTAGACCACTCCATGACCTTAAAGTGCTTCTTTCTGAGCCACTCCTGTGTAGCCTTGGCTGTATGTTTTGGGTCATTGTTGTGCTTGAAGASCCAGCTACGGCCCATCCTGGCAGAGGGAAGGAGGTTGTTACTCAGGATTTTACAGTYCATGGCTCCAACCAGTCTCCCARTGATGTGGTGAAGTAGTCCTGTGCCTTTAGCAGAGAAACAAAAACATGATGTTTCCACCTCCAWGCTCGACAGTGAGGARGGTGTTCTTTGGGTCATTTCTCTTCCTCCAAACATGGAGAGTTGAGGTAATGCCAAAGAGATCAGTTTTTATCTTATCTGACCACAGCAGCTTCTCCCAATCCCTCTCAGAATCATCCAGGTGTTCATTAACAAACTTCAGATGGAGCTGAACCTGTTCCTTCTGGAACAGGGGGAGCTTGAGGCACTGCAGGACTTTAATCCATCACAGCTTCATGTGTTACTAATGTCTTTCTCTGTGACTGTGGTCCCAGCTGCCTTCAGATCATTAAGAAGTTCCCCTCATGTAGTTCTAGACTGATCTCACCTTCATGATCAAGGAAACCCCACAAGCTGAGGTTTTACATGGAGCCACAGATCATCAACAGTTATCTCCTCCTCACCCAGCATCTTACTGATGCTGGTAAAAAAAAAAACATTACATCACAGGATGTAAACATTTTTTTACATTCTGAGACGTTAAAAAAAATGTTTACATCCTGTGATGTAAAATTTTTTTAAACGTAAATTACGTCAGGACGTAATTTACGTTAACGTTTCTTTTACATCCTGAGATGTTAAAAAGTTGTTTTTTACGTCTCAGGACGTAAAAAACAAAATTTTTACATTCTGTGATGT